CGAACTGTTATTGATCAGAAATCACAGTAAATGTAGGGAAATGATTCGCGGTTACGTTATACTTTAGAGTGTTGACTGCGGAATCGGCATCTATTCATGCATATTCACCCACAAGCTGCACAACTCCATGAGATGTGTTTGCACTCGGATGACCTGTCTCTCCTCTTCCGAGGATAGCAATACGCTTGGCTTCAAATTTACTCAAGCCTGTACAGATAAAAGTCCCCCCGGCTGCTCTGTCAGGTGTCAGACGTTTATGACATCTCAAACCAGGATTACAATTTTTAAGCATTTCTGAAGGTTGTTGTAATGGCGAAATTTCGACCGTCTTCAATGTTGAGCTCTATTTTTCAACTGGCCACAGACGTGTTTTGCCAGGACGCGAATGTCAGCCGTTCATCTTAAGTAAGCTGCAAGAGGAGCATTCGGAGTGTATTCAAGTCAGCTGACCTTATCTTGTTCGGAAATTTTGGTTCAGGCTTCGATTTGACCACTGAATCGGCAATGTAACTAAAGTCTGTTAAGCAACCTTACGAGCGTCTATGTTCCTCTGCAACAAAAAAACGTAACAGTTCGATACACTATAATCTCGGTATACATGCGCAGACTGCGGTTATATCGAACGCGTGCATGTGGGCGATCAAGTTCATCAATCACCAAACAACAATCAAATGTAGATTGTCAATTTTGTAGAATGGATGTTACTGAGGCAGCAGAAATTTACACACCACGCAATACTCCAACTATTTCCTTGAATGCAGGGTAGACTGAGACCGGTTGATTAAAGGCGGGTTTTAGAAGCATTTGTATTTGGAGTATAAGGCGATGCTACCTGAAAGGACGATGTGGTTAGTCCACGCAAATTCCGCAGACAAAGCAGTCATTCGCAAAAAACAGTACACGGATTTTTGACACACACACACACACACACCATCATTCTCGCCAAGAAACGTTCCGAGCTAACGAGATGACCGTCTAGATGGTGAGATTGGCATAGCATCCTCGTGATCACGGAACAATTCCGACACAGCGCAGGCCTGAAAAATATACACTGTGCCAGTGCGATCTATATTGCTTTGTGGATCAGTGATTTGGTATCCAGGAGTGAAACCTTCTTGTCAGACCACCGGTATCTGCGAAAAAGTGTCAAAGTCTTGTAGAAACAGCAGACTAGCATCGCTAAGGTAGGTCAGATGGTTGTTAGAAGTAACTCTCTCGCCACAGAAAAGTTAGTCCACTCCCTTCAGTTACCCTGGTTAGGCCATACATTCCGCATGCTAGAAGACCGTGCACTTCACGCAGTTATTTCTGCCCAATTCCGTGCTGAACGGAACGGACGGAACAGTTGTCAAAGTCCCACATCCAATGGCGCTTCTACACCAAAGCTATCATCCTTAACTTGCGACCATCTTAACTTGGTCCAACATTCGAAAACACTGTTTGCAGTCCTGAGGTATCGGACACCCTGTGACTAGCAGCCCCAGTGAAATTCGCATTGTTGATTGACCCAACAACTATCAGATATTGAATCTGGTCGACAACAACATCGTCTCCCGATAGAACGAAGCACACTTTTAGTTGTATTATTGTATTGTCTGGGCTGCAGAGGTACCATTTTGTTGTGCCAAGTTTCTTACGAAAGATACTGTCCGACTGGCATTCAGATACTGTCGACGAAAAAGTGACGGGCAGTGTGCAACATCGAAACAGGTAACAGTGACGGCAAGTTCCACGCACTAACAACTTAGCAGTTTCAAATGATCCAATTAACTCTTTCATTATGTACTAATCGGTTCGGTCATTTGGATAACCCATGGGAAATATGCGATCACGTGATCGAATGAACCTAATGGTGGCTGACTACCGTTCGTGGAAGTGGTCAGGCTCAAGGTCTGAGCGATACATCGCACCAGATACACACTAATAAAAGTGGAGATCCCTTCCGACAGCTGAACCCGGACTACCATTGTTTTCACGTTGATGAGTTTCGATCTACTCCATGTCTCCCCAATCACATAACTGGCGAAAGCAAATTTAAACATCTTGTGAAGTTTCAGATCAGTAAAATTGCAGCCAGCTTCAGATACTGTTCACGAGCAACCAATGAAGTTTCGTAGGGTTCAACCAAACTGAGACAGCCTTTAATAAGCAGGCGCTTGGAAAATCAACATATCAGTGAACATCAAAACGAATTTAGGGTGAGGCTTACGATTATGAACGTTTTAGCAGACAACGTGGAATGTGATATCTAGTTACGCAATACATGGGAATCTAATACATTCCCACACACGGAGAGAACACAATTTTTCGACCTCAAGATGGCCTACTATTCCAGAAACCCTTGTCATTGGTGCCAGCGATAGTAGATGGGATCAACTCCGTTATAGGCTACTCACAGCCGGCGATCGAACCCAAGAAAAACAAATACGACGTACCAGGAGCTGATGACTCAGGGCCGACCAGAAAAGATGTTCAAAATCGTTCTGCCGCGTGTCCGCGTATTCGGGTGCTATGCCCAATTGAAAGACAGGGTAGATATTTTGTTTAAGCTGCAACCTGGATGGAGCGAATGAGGGAAGGGGTGGAAAATAAGTTAGAACACTCGTTTCCATTCAAATCAGAATCAGAATCTTGCAGGGTCCATTCAGTGCATGGTTAATATGCAAACCAGAGCAAGCACGAAGGCTGAAATACTGCCAATATGCCTGAGCCTAGAGGAGGCAGGTCAGGATTAAACTAAAGTGTAGAACACTGGTAAACCGCCATGGTATAACGATTCTGCATGGTCGAATGTCCTCATGCGTGCAAGAAAAAGATACACAGAAGAGAAGCCTAGCCCCATCCTACCGAAAAACATCCGACAATGTCATGCATACTGGATAGAAACTGACGGCAGGAAAGATAGTAACTTCAGTTTGCTGCTTATACTTTCATATGTGCCCTCCTTGAACCATGCAATGTACGGAAGGTTGGCGTCATTCCGTTCACCACTTGGAAGGAGGCAAAAATAAGTGAACCACAAGTTGGGCTGGTCTCAGATACTCATCTTCCTCCTCTGAAAGTCATAACGTTACAGAAACCTTCGGGAGACTATCCAAAGTGATTTTCTTGGGATGCAGCACCAGCGGCGTTCAGTCGAAGCTCTCACACCTAGGTGATACATTCAGTCTACAGATACCTCACTAACTTGAACGGTGGGGGAGGTGAGGATAGCATGTGATGTGGAGATTCCGTTCGAATGGTGGAGAGATTACCAAACCGAGAAGAATAAAAAGCAGGATGCTCATCGCTCAATCAGCTCATCACACGCCTGTACGTGGACTTGCCGATCGTTTCCAAACGGCTATCCTTAGTCATTAGGGTGTGAAGATAACAGCTGGTTGGGAAAACTGTCGTCAGAAGAGCAGAGTATAAATTTGCTTACAGAACCATCGGAAAAGCGGTAACTTATCAGGTGATGAACAGAAAACAACAAGAAAATCATTAGCAAAACGTAACTCGTGACAAAATCGGATGCTTTAAACTCGTGACAAAATCGTGATGCTTTCTGGAAGGTTAACAGTAAACTATCCAGAGTAAGGCGCTTAGATAGAGAACGTAGGACAGAGGTTATCCGTCTTGGCTAATGTAAGCGTCCTAGCATTCGCATTGTTCTACTGCCTGACTGGTCATAGACCATACAACCACAACGCGAGACCTCTATGGAGGCGTTTAATGACCTCGAAAGAAATCGCAATATACTAAGACTTACATTATGCAAACATTGGGATCAAAACAAGACAACAGGATGCGACGAGGACCGGCAAAAGAGAGAATTTCTCTGAGTATTGTGTCCACATAGAAGTTATATTCGAAGAAGTTGCTCATCTCACAACCACCGGCCTGTGAAAAAGAAACAAATTTTATAAATGTTGGGCGATTATGGTTTTTTGTTGAGTTTATGCTTCCTGGATAAATTTCGCATCACCAAGCGAGTCACACAAGGAAATGATTTTCCATTTTCAGAGTGTGTTCGGTTTTCAAGGCAAGTCAGATGGGAGCGGCGCACAAGCACTGAACAACTAAAATCCTCTCAGGTTGGTAGCGTGCCCACGCATTGGCAGCTCGGGTGAGTTAATTGGCCGTTGATCAGGTCTAAACTTATCCGTTTGCCGAGCGTGGCGGTTGGCTTGCAAACGTTTCATCACCAAGCGAGGGGATACTGTCAGCGCGCGCACTGGAAGTTACATCCTTGCTACCTATGCAAGTATATAAGTGCAGCCAAACCAGTGTCATTAGGTGTATGGTACATGCAGTGTGGTCGGACCTCGGTTTAACATCATTTGGTGTTCTAGTCGGGTAGCTTATTCCCCTTGACGCCCATTCTGACATACAATACCGTATCTGTGGTTCCAAGAAGCTGCTTGAATGCGCCATCAGTACTACAACGTCAAGTGAGCTGAACCCGTTGCGGGCAACCAAAGATGCTAAACCTTCAGTAATGCTCAACACTGCACCGGTGTAACTCTAGCTCACACAGTGAACTGGTCAACAACCCCCTTTTAGCAGTCTCTGGAAAGTTGAACTGAGACATTGTTTATCTGTTCGTTCCCATCACAGCTAGTAAACTGCATGATAGAAAAGCACATTTGGTGAACAGCAACACAAGTTATTACAAACGCATTTGACAATAATATTGTAAGCACCTTCACCAAAGTCCTATTCTTGGGTGTGTTTTTCTCTATAACTCCGCTTTCACTGCAGCTCTGCCGAACAAGCTTCAACATCCACTTGCCATTTTGTCCTTTAAGTGAAGCCAACCAATGATTAAAAGCCTAAAATGACTGTACGGCTGTTTCATCCTTATTGAGAATCATCCATAGTGAATACCTCACGAAACTCAAAATAGTTTCGAACCCGCGACCGCCAGGCCAGTAGCCTGAACACTTGAACGTTCAACCTGATCAGCTCACACTTAGGCACGATATAACCCAACTCGTCCTTCGATCACGGAAGCCGCATGATGTAGTTACTTGCCAACTGGCTCCAGGAGTCACGAATTCTCACATGGAAGTTGCACTCATCTTTTGAAATTATTCTTCCCCTGAGCTATCAATCTATTGATGGTAGTGTGGGGAGACTCGGTAATTTTCAACTGAGATTTCGTCTTGTAAGCGGAGCTTATCTATGCCGAGAGGCACTGTACAGCTGTTTCATCCTTGTTGGAATTCAGCAGCAGTGCGCAACTTATGAGACTTCAGGGAGTTGCGAACAAGGTTTTTCATTTACAGGACAAAATCTCAATTGAAAATCTCCAAATCTCCTCACATTGCCAACAAACTTCAATCGGTCGTTTTTTGTTCACCTCTTGGTTGTTTATGGGACGGTTTCTTATTTACCTCATAGTACGCGAAATCGGGAGGATAGTCATCTTCTCTTCCCTGTCTTCTTGGTGTATCTCAGTAGCTGTTACGGCATACTGAACTGAAGTGCGTCTGGTGTTACAACAATGATGAGTAATTCTTCACACCCAACACCGCCTACTGTAAACGAGAGATTTTAGCCTCCCGTCCATGCCAGGTTAACTTGCAATTAAGTTTAACTCCATTGTCTATATCCTCACGGTGCGTTTATCGGGCCCACTAACGGTCATAACACTGATGAAACATGCACTTGGTGCATGGTAAAGTTTAAAAGCGCCGTCCCTTCATCGGCTGGAAGATCGACACGGAAATTATTGAACCGCTCTGCAGTGTTTATTCATTATTGTTTACGATTCAAAGAACCTCGGGGAAAGTTCTAACCGACGCTTGAGAATGTTCACCTTTCGGAAACTTTGCGCGAGTGTGGTTTTTACTTTCATGTCTGGTAGACTGTGCACGTTTGGTTCCTGTTCATCAATAAACAACTCCACAGTCAAGGGCACTCTTCCTTTCACCAGCACACTGACTCCGAGCAGACGTCCAACAGTGAAATGCTAAGTGTTCATCGGTTACGTTATAAGGAAAATTACAGCCAGTTTCCTTACTTTGAAATCCATAGGATATTTCACTTCTATCACGAAGCCAAGATCAGGATCCAGTTCATTAAAACAGGAGCGAAGAAGTGGGAAAGACTGCATCTCGATTGGATCCAAGTCGTCTTCATCCATTTCTATGAGGTGTAAAAGCAAAACACAACACCGAGTAATGTGTACAAAATGAACGCGGGTATTTTCGTAATTTGATCGATCCACTGCGGGTATGGCTATCCCTTTCTAGAAGGGTTATCACTGGATAATTCCTCTGAAGTGGCCTCTCTTCTGAAGCAAGGTAGCAAACTAAAGTGAGCGTAAGTGAAAGCACACGGCCCTGAATATTACCCGAACGAGGGACTACAAGGTAATCAGTCATTCTGTATTTCTTGTAGATATCAGGAACCGAAAAATCCCCCATTTGACGTCCTCGCCAAAGGCGTGCTGAGCCGGGTTGCATAGAATAAACGGAAGTTAGTTAGATCGTGGATTCAAATCACGAAAATCTTTGACCTCAAATGAACTGTATAAAGCCGACTGAAAATAATACACAAGGCGAACGGAAATGTGTAGTAAACGGATTTTAAGGACACAAGGTGTTGTTTGGCGAAGCTGAACTACCAGTAGTACATAAGAGGACGAAACACGTTAGAATAACCTAGTCAACACCGGAAGTCACTTCACGAACTAACGCGGAAGGTGACAATCATCTACAAGAAAACAACGTGTAAAACTCACTTTCGTGAGTGTGAGGTTCTTGCAAAACACTCGAATGATGAACTTTCAGTTCACGAAGGTCGTCATAGTTCAAGTCCTTAATTGCGATTGGAAGATAGGACAGTCGACCACCACGTTTCTATGGACACAAGTAAGAATATTAAAGTGTGTGTGTGTGAGAGGGAGAGAGAAAAGCAGAGAGAAACAAACCATCATAGGCCTAAAGATAAAGAACCCTCAGGTGCCAGTGCGAGCAAGGTTCGATAGAAAACAACGATACTGCATAGTACCCACCATAATACATCTACACCTCCTATGCCGCACCATGCAAGCCGAACGCAGCACGCGGCTCGATGACCCCAACCTTCGATTAACAGTCGGGTCGTGTGATCCCAAAAGAACAAAACTCAAGTACTGTTTCAAAAAAAGGCAAGACATACCGGTTCAAAAAGTCCTCAGTAGTTTTCTCACCGAAAACTGGTTTATCGTAGGAAATATAATAAGGGGTGACCGGGACACGAAACAATGCTGAACAGAATATAGTTGCTACTGGGATCAGCATGTGTTAAAAACCTGAGATAAAATGGAGTGGGATGACTGAACGCGTGACGGTTCAAATGAGGATCACAGGTTGCCACCCTATGTGATGAATTCGGCAGATTTTGGTAGGAAGTTTGAAGATTACAAATGAATCTTAACAAAGTCGGTACACCATAAAGGCTCAACCAGATCCATCCTTCTTTACTCAGAAATTAGGGAAGGAAGGGCTTGTTGAAATCTACATGACCAGCTTCGAGCAAACATTAAAACAGTGTTCGCTAGCAAGACCATGGAGGCTTTCATTTTGAATCTGTCCATCTTTGAAACAGTGATCCATGCGATGACAGGTGCCAGAATTCTACTACTTCAGAGCACAGAAATGCTATTCCTAACATCCTCACGGAGAATCTGATAAGTACCAAATCTAACGAACCAGGGCTTGAAAATGTTAATCAAAAGGCAGGATATGATCAGTCCTGATAAACAAATCAGTAGGCGATTCGCCCTTATTGAAGCCCATTAGGCTGCGGGTGTCTTTGGTCGCAGCGCATGCGGGTACTGACCACAACTGACACGCATGACGAAGTTGAATCAGTGATTCTTTGGCTCCGTCCGTGCAATGAAATTCGTCAAGAAACTGGCTCCTAATTCTTAATTTTGTTTGAAAACGTCAAAGGAGTCAGTCGCGTCGAAACAACCCGAAATTTCTTCCAGCAGCTAGTTTCACACACAGGGCGAAACCGATTAGTAGTCTGATCTGGAAAATATCCAGCCGTTATCTCCTTCAAACTCGCCCACTGTATTGATAACATCACACCAAATAAGGAGGTCCTGAACGGCACAATCTACAGATGCACCATTCAACTACGAACAAATGAACCAAGTCAAATGAAGGACTTGTTTCTTCCAAACAACCTCGACTGGTACGACAAAAAAAAACTCAATCAACAGACTCAGACTCATCACGGTCGAGTAGGGGGGCGAGATGGCCCAAGTGGTTAGAGCCGCGAATTTACTGACCGGAAGGTCCGTGGTTCGAATCCGACCTCCGCCACTCGACTTCCCCTGTTTAGGCTTGGGCAACCCAGCCCTCGTGCTTCCTTCGGGTGGTATGGCAGCTAGGCACCTGAAAAGTGCTACAGCTGAATACTTCTTCTCACAATCGAGGTGATGAATCGTCGATGAGAGTGACTCCAGCGGCTAACACCTCATGTTTAATTTGACCTCGCTAGAGTGGTTGGGTTAGGACAGGAATCTGTGATACGATCACATTGAATCAAGTACAAAAATAGCATAGTATTCGCCAACAGTGCAAACTCCACCCAAAGTTGTGTAACAGCACAAAAAACAAAATTCTCGATGTGGATGCAGATGGAGAATGTTCGTCTTGTTGTAAAATTAGGCTGACAGAAAGTGACGGACAGTTACACCAACAAAACAAGTAACTGTCAATCAGAACAGGGCGGGGTAACAAACATCCGGAGCCAGCCATGACGTTAATAACTCGTCACAATTTATTAATCTCTGTAAGATGACTTTAATCACAGTACATGGAAAACCAGCTGGAGGTCTTGAAACGCCAAGAAGGATGAGATCTTGGGCGACCAATAACCTCATCCAACATAAAATCAGCGAGTAAAACTGGCCAGAACCCCTACTGTGATCATCCTGCACACAACACAAGAGTGAAGGAAAACATAGACGAGAGATTCAGCTGGACTCAGTTGAGTCTTCATTATGGGGGCATAATCAAGCAAACTGATATGGGTATACGGCAGCGAATCACCAGTGTTCTCAGCTAGTGTTGCTGCTAGTGACGATGGATGACGATGATGATGAGCCTCCCGTCAAAGCCAAATTAATGTATAAATGAGTATTTTGGCAAGAGAGTGATCAGTTTCAGGTCCCTACAACCTACGTGCCTCAGGTCTCCAAACGGATCAAAAATGAGTCACAAATTTCAGTCAGAACACTATTTCGAAGTAGAAAAGGTTGGATAGTAGCGTTTGTGGCAAACAATCAACCGGGGGATATGTACTGTGCTCAACTGAGTAAAGTGAACAAGCCTCTTCATCCACCCAAATCAAGAGATCGCCGGAAGAGCGATTAACCGTAGGTGAACCGTCAGATGAGCACACAGCCATGCCAAGAAAGGCGGATAAGTTTTTATCCGTAGTTGGCATCAAAAAGGTTCGAAATAAAAGCAGACATTCAGCTGATCGTACCGCATGTCGTGGTGAGTGAATTTAACACCGTGTTAAATTATTCAGTGTATTGGAACGTGGGTAACATCGTATTTCCATCAGTGTAGTAGCAAAGCGCTTAGGGAACGCAGTAAACAGAATAGCCGAATTGCTATTTATTCCACAGAAGTGATGATGAATATTAATACCACGTTATAGACCTGGGACAAAGTAAACTGAGCAATTACACTCTAAGTAGCGATGATGTCCTTACACCGAATAACATGTAGCTATCAGTCGACAGTGGTTGAACAGTCGGATGTTTTTACAGCCAAAAACTGAATAAGCTTTCTACGGATTCGGCCAGCAGAATGATAATGATGTATGTTGCCTTAAAACCTTATCCCTTATTTGTTTGTTTTGATTGAGTAACCAAAGTAGAACCAATCGGGTTGGAGGTTACTTCAGTTGTTTTCTCACGATTACTGACTCCTGATTCGGACAACACCCGGTCAACTTTCGTGTATCTCTCATCTTTTACACTGAGAAGTAGAAGCTCTAGCAGAAACATTGAGGAAACTGCGAATCAGGACATGGGAGACCTGCTGTCTTCATATGAGTGTCATGCTATGTGGGTTGAAAACGGCGACGACCAACTGAACTTTGACCCACCTGCCGCGTCTGGTGTTGCCCTAAACAACCCTCAAACTCAAAGAGTCAGAGGCCAAGGTGAGCGGTACGCACGAAGAGTGTACAAACTCCCGTGAAGAAGCATCCTTAAATAAAACAAATTCACTAGTGTCCCTTGCGACGCAGTCTGGATTGATGCCTCTTTGAGGGAGCAGTCCGCATTGTTGCAAAATATATAACAAGGTGCAGGTTGCAAATCTAGGGCTTCACCACAACCTACTACGACAGGCGTTGCGTGGGCGATAAAATTGATGTTGATAAAGACCTTCACACGAGAAAGCATAACATTACGCCAATAACGTCAGTGCTTCATTGTAACGTTGGCTGGAGTTGAGATATTGTGTGATGGCTTGCTTGCAAAGTTGGTCAAAGTGGCCCCCTCCAAAAAACTGGAACGTCCCCGTGAGCGACATTCGTCCAGGAGGCAGGGGTCATTGCACTCGATCAGTTTTAATGTTCCAATAGGGTGCGAGATGAGTTAGTGGTTAGAGTGCGGATCTAGTGAACGTAAGGTCCGTGATTCGAACCCGGCATATATATATATATATATATCCAGAAATCGGAGATTACTCAGGTGACAACAAAAGGTATTGGTTTTGGAAATAAAGTAGAGGTTTGTTTTCAGCTATCTTTCAACGGCCCCTGTGTGGCATCCTGTCGGGCAGCACGGTGTATACTCCCGAAAACCTGAAGGCCGCAAAAACCGTTGAATTCACCGGAATTGCGTGCAAAGCCATCACCAATTAGTTCCAGCACTTAAGACCATTCAAACAACGCAGTCAAATCGTACCGCAGAATGAAACCCAACAGCTCCCTCAGTCGGATGCATTTTTACTACGAAGATCTATTTGAAATAGAGATAGATAGTGCTATGGCAAGTCTACCCTATGAACATACGCTCGGTGTTTTTCCGTTACGCTGACACTCGATCACGAAAACAGGCCCTGGTATGATCACCAAATAATCTAAATACTGTTGTCAGGCAATTCGGTGTTCACTTTGCACATTCAAAGCTGGGTGGGTACATCAACAAGCTTGGTCATGACCTCAGAACCACAGTAGATAGTGAAGAAGTTTATCGGTCGGATGGCATCGTTGGTGTCCTGACCTTTTAATTTCATTCAGATAGCTTGAACACCTCTATGTGAGATTAGTGTGCCAGTGAAGGCTAAGGCATACAGCGCAGCAGTGCGTAATGTTGCTTTAGGGTTGTGATGCCTGACCATTGTGCGCTGAGAACAAAGTACTACTAACACTGTCTTCGAAGCATTATACAATATCGTCAGGATATCTGAATCCCAAGACTGAAGTGCGACGAATGGGTTTTGGCCACAAAGCCGTTGTTTTGGTAGGCTGATTTGGAAGCACGGACTACGTTGGGTCGGCTATGTGCATAGTATGCCATTGCCATGCGTGTTTGCTGGTTCCAACTGGAAGATACCATAAGATGGGCAACGAATGACCTTCAGGTAAAAAGTGAAAAACATAAAAGTGGGTCTCAGATGCTTCATCTCCGAAGTCGAGGTATCACGTTGGAGCCACAAGCTACGGCGACCAGCAACATGCATGCACGGTTCACGCAGCCAAAAGTAACTGAACAACATTTGAAGTTCGACGTCATGCAGCCCACCTGAAACTGTGGTTAGACTGTGCCCATCGACTGGATCAAGACGAGTAGACCATTCCAGTATTTACCTTGGAAGATAGGGCGAAGATTCTACATGAGAGATTAGCTTTAGTCACTTATTTGGTATCCATTACAAATGAAAATTACAGGTGGATATACGACTGGGAATTTGTTTTCGAGGACATAGAGGGGCATCTGATTGGATGGACCAGTAGCTGGGATTAGGGAACGCCGGGATTTATTTACTAGCATGCGCCATACAAAACAGCACTGATAAGACAGCGTACCTTTCTGGAGATAACAACGGCTTCGTAGTCATGGTAAACAACCACCTTGTGATCTTTCGTCAACTGCACGTCCATCTCAACAAAGTCTGCGCCCTGTGGATAACATGATTCGGGGTTTTCGGGAAAACGGAAGAAAATGGATGCGACTGAGTTTAGGTAAACAAACCTATAGATGAAAACCACCCACTCACTCAAAAACCAGAGAAAAAGGGTACCACTTGCAGCGCGTAGGTGCTCGGCGAGGAGTATCGTGTCCGTTGATAAACTAAAGTTGTAGGATGGGTGTTCGGAAATCCAATGAAGTTTTGATTCGTTACCAAACAGAGAGACATCTGCAGACAGGCATCGACGAATCTGACTTGATAAGTCACCGGCCCTGGACTATGCTAAAGCGGTGCAATGCCTATGCAAAGAAGTAACATATTTATATATTGAACATTCCATTTGTCTCACGGTTAAACCACTGCTCAGAGGCAGTCGTACAAACATGTAGCACTCGTGCTTTAATCTGGGAGGAGGATACTATGCTGTTCTGGTTATCGGTATCATAAAGATGGCAAGCAATTTTATAAGTCAGCCTGGACTGGACATCCCGAGAAACTGTTACTTTGGAAGGATGGGAGAAGGTTAATGTAGACCTTGAATAGACATCAATCGATCGAAGCGAACCAAAGTAACAACCAACGCCACTTCAAAAACTAGGCAGCATTACCGCCCAACTCCAACTTAGTGTTGTTGTCTACCCACGCCTAAAATTCTACAGATTCCACAATATAGGAAGGTTCTGATACCATCGTATTAATCGTCTGATAGCTCACCAGGTTAGAGCGTTTGGTCGAAGTTTAGTGGCCGAACCGTGGTATAATTTGTTGCGGTCACTGACAGCAAGATTCTTCACTTTTTTTTAACTTTGCGTCCGCAATTTTCTCGTTGGAACGGTGGAAATCGGCCCCTTAACGGTCGGCTTACACGCAAGCAAGCTGTCCTTTCATGATAGCTCAGTGAATTTAGAGGAGTTGTATTCACAACCAGTCCATTCTCTCACTGCTCAAACCCAACCTCAGGCAATGTTGACGAGTCGCACACTTACGTGTCTAGTGTCTAACTACCTGACTCGTACAAAGCCCACAATTGGGGAAAAACTATTCCAGTGAGGACCACAGTCCTGTTAGGAAAGGTGTGTTGAGAGAATAGATCTATAGAACCTCTACAAACGTATGTGACAATGGTTCATCAACATGGAGCTACATTCAGGCATGCAGTGTGGGGAAAATGCATTCTATCAGGATCAACTAGTATCATAGATAGATTAGCTAAACGTAGAAATCACACTTAATTTACGCGGGGGAATCAACAGTCCAGTCCAGATGATACAAACCTTACATACTCACCACCGCGTTGGTGGTAAGTTGGTATACTATTCAGAAGTTATCCATTGTGGCCGCTAATAGCTGAACAGGCTAAACATCGTGAAGAAAGTTCCCATTCTATGAGAAACTGTTTACATCTAACAGTTTGGAGAGCGTGCAATTAGTGGAGTACTGCCTACAGTTGTTTAAGAAGAGAAACGGACAGCAGCAAGTGCGTACAGCCAACCAGAACCGACATCATTGTTCAACAAAGCTAGGTTGTAGGTCCATCTCAAAATACAACCAGTACATAACACATGAACAGGCATACACATTTTCTTTGGAAATGGATCGGACCGGCGAATGGACGATACTTCCTAGGTGAATTTGCCAAAAGTAACTGGCAGTTCAAAAGACTGTGGTCAAAGTGGGATTCCTTAAGAGGTTTTACTCTATGGTTGATGATGTATAAAGTGAGGACAAGTCTACGAAAGCAGAACCGTATTTGCTTGCGCTGGTGCATGTCACCCGTGAGGCTAAGGCAACAGAGTTTGAGGTTACCTGCTAACCTGGTAACGTCATCCGCGCAGTGGCACTGTTGATCGCTAACCTGCTATTTATCATTCTGTTTTCTGCATTCTTAAGTCTGGGTCACTTTCCATCTGAGTTTACACTACAGGCTTCAAACGCTGCGCCGAGGCGAGCACAGGTGTAAAGGCAAACTGAACATATTGCCGTGGTCTACAGTTTCGTGATATGAATGCACTACGTATGGCTCATCAAACGACTCTGGTGATAGTCGAATATCATACAAAGACACACAAAGTTGTGGCGAGACATGCTCCATGAAGATCGTAGATAGAACCGCGTCAATATCGACTAACAAGTCTCGTTCTTTCAGGCTCTGGACTTGATGATGGAAGTGTCGTAATCTGAATTAAACGGAGACAGAGAACCATCAAGTCGTCAAGAGCAACACGAACTAAAACGATTACAAGTGGAGACATGCAAACCTCCTGCAAGAATGTCACCGCAGATTACCAACAGAACCATGAAGCTCCTGAAGTCGATGAGGACGGAATCAAAGGTGGTTGGTTGTTGGTACAGCGATGAGGAGGATGCGGTTGCTGCTGCTGTTGCTGTTTTTGTTGTTGAGGCGGATGAAGATAAACGTGAATACACAAAAACAAAGCGAGTCAACTGGTTGCAGATAAATTACATGTTGGACTGCAGTCCTGAACGAGTCCAGAGTATTCTCCTTATTATTGGCCGGCCTGAAAAAGGAGGCAAGACACAACAAGAGCCACACAAAATGCATGCGCGTGTAAGCGATAGCAGACAAACAAGCGAAAACTAGGGACCTAGTGCGGATAAGTGCAACGGACACAGTGTTGCGGAAATCGCCGAGGGTAACAGTGACGGTGCATCAATCGCCACGGGTTCAATGACTACCGACAAAAGACATTAGCGGAGAGGATAACGCTTTGTGTATTACACAAAAACGCTAGAAATCTGTGGCTTCACCTCGGGGAAATTTGAACTGTTTAACCGAGGGCTACACCATCGAACGATGATGGGTTTTAAAACACACACCGGATCACAGCTGGTATCCACAGTATCACCGTAAACCAATGAGGTTAGCTCCCTGAATCGTCGAAAGATTGAAAGCAGCCGGAAAATGGACTATTTAACTCTCCCTAGAAAAACTCAGTAGAGGCAGGGCACCTCACCACAACAGACGGCATCTAACCGCAACATATGGAAACGCAATTGAGCGCACGAAAGAGCACACACCACCTCCCCATAACATCTTTCACTCAGTCTGTGCAACGGATCAGATCACATACAAACATGGTCGAGGAATGAACGTGCGTAAAGATGGTAATGAATCTAGGCGCGGACGAACAGAGGTCGTACTAGATAAAAGTCGCAGTGCAGAAGATTCGTGGAAGCACCAAGAGAAAAAATGTTTGGAAAGTGGAAAATAGGACATGCACAATTATCACGGACACAAGAAGCTAAGCAGAAAAAAGTGCTTATGGCAAGTGTTCAGCTTCTCGTAATCATGGGTTCCAAGCAGTTGCAAGTGGCTCTGACGATTGAAGGCACAAGTGTTTTTCAATATGGTACAATGCGGTTACGCATGGTGCTCGAGGACCGCTCTCCCTTACTGCAAAACGCTCGAATATTCGGACGATTAAGACCATTGGTTGAACGTAAAGTTGGCCAGCTTAAACCTTACCCTGTAGACGAAAAGCTACAAGTGAGGCCACTAGAACCATGAGGAATAAAAATGAACACAAGTCCGTAAAAGGCAAAGGCTGCCAGAGAGGAAGGATATAGAGCAATGTCAACCAACAAAAATTTATCCGTAGAAGTGTGTAGTCCCCAGTCCGCAGTCAGTATGAATTTATCCGAGAACATGGTGTCCAAATGGTTATTATATACTGCGGGCTGTTTCGCTGATCATAGTTAGATAAAGGAATTCAAGATGCTTCAATTGCTCAGCCGCAGTGGTTGCTAATATGTTGTTCGGCGATTTCAATAGGGGGTGTGTGGTCCACTTGACTGACTCTATATTCCGACCGATTTACAATCCAACTTTAGCAGAGCGGAATTTCCCGCTTCATTCAGGCTTTTGACAACTATAGGCAGTCTCATTTTGCCTCATTCACCGCGAAAAACGCCAGTCCCTCAAGTTCTATCCCTAAAACTTTTCAGACTGGCGAAATCAGCAGTTAATGCATTCGACTATTCCGCTACACAGTTTTCATGTCTGTAAAAATTTCATGATGGTGCATAAGACAGACCTGGTGAAACAACAAGAGTATCGGGGGACATTCGCGAGGTCAATACACGTCCAAGGTGGAGCATGGTGCGGCTTTGCATTCCAGACAACAACTGTTAATATATGGAGGTTATCGAATCCGATATGATTGGAATCCTCAGACCTCTGACATTAGGCGCCTTAGGGCGTAGCTAGGTTATGAACTTGTGGGGTTGAATCATCCGTTCTTATGAGGTGGTAACATTTCAGGATGCTTGAAGCAGCAACCCGGACACAGTTTATCGGCGTCATACTGAACAGCCTTATGTCTGAGGTAACTTCACGTCGTTCGAAAACAAATATCAAGGAGTTTCGGAATCCTTCTCGCAAATAAACTTGCCTCTCAACATGTCCGCGTGTCTAGCAATCTTCCCCCTAACAAGAAACCTCCCACCAACCAACACTTCTGGGGAAAATGATTTTTATGACCAAACCTTCTGAAGTAGGATACCCTCGGTAAGCAGAAATACTCTCAGAGAGCAGCCAGAAATGATTTAAAGGGAGGGTTTATTCCCAATATGGAAGGTTTTTTTATAATGAGCAAAAATATTCCCGTCGTTCGAGTTGGGAATGACTAAGCAAAACCGCAAAGAACGTGGTGCGAGCGGGAGGATAATTGACTGATCCATTGCTCTTTGTAATAGAATTGACCAACACAGCTGGTTCGGTACAAGTTACAGAGTCAGTCAGTATCACGTAGACAACGGTCATAACTTCATTCAACCTTAGCACCCTTTCAGTGCACGAATGTCCCACAACCGTCCTGACTGGGATTTGGAAACCGTCAGTATCTCAGCCCTCGTGCTCTCCTCGAGTTGCACCGTGGGTACACACAGGAAAAGTGCTACAACTGAATGAACAAAAGTACTTTTGATCAACTCAAATGAAGCAAGAGGGCTGGATCACCACCAAGTCGCCGAAGCTTGAACAGCAAGAATCTAGAAGCCCAGTTTCGGTCCGAGCCACTGATCTTCCGGACGGTGGTTTAACGCCACAAACTTCACACCCCTCAGTCGAGTCACATGATGTCCACCTCGCAGTTTGCACCGTTCTGAAGGAGACAAGGGAGGACGATGTTTCGGTATGCATAGCACATGACCTAGCCACTGTAATTGATGTTACTGGATGCCCTATGGTAGTGAAGTATCTGCTACACAACCAACTACTAATTTTCTGATTGTCCCATTACGTCTTCCATGACGCCACATGAAACGTCGGTCAAAACCTGAAGACGCATGACAATCTCTCCGGAACTCAGCTAGCCATCGGTTAATGAAACTGATCGAAATGGATCAATCACGCAGTCAGTGGCACTCGTCCATCAAAGCCGTTGTCTTAAACGTGTAGCTGCCCAGTTTTCCGTTCCATTAGAGCAATATACAATATAAACAAACTGGTCGTGTCATAGTCTTCATTGCTTGGTTATTGCTCACACACTTTCTCATCTTCCCGTGACCAAATATGTAGCAGCTCGAATCAAGGTATCCAAGATAAATGGTTTATAGCTTGCATACTGTTCCCTTAGTTCTTTATCCAATGGCTAGCGCGGATGCGCAATTTTTGAAAGACAATGCTGTTGTGCAGTTCGGATATCGACATTAGGAGACTCTCGTCAGTGCTAGCTGTCCTGATGCGAGGAGTCTGCCCCTCCAGCCGAAGGTCCACAACCTGTTTTTTGCAAACGACTGTGTATTGCCTGCGAATAGACGTAATGAGCCGCAGTACAGCTGTTGCGCAGCTTGAGTTGTGCATCGATTTGAATATAACATTCGTGAAGCACCTGTAGCAGATGGAATCTCCAACACTTCCTCGCATCAAGACTGCAACTGAGTTCGTGGACTCCTGTGCAGACTTCTTATTCTGTAACACGCTGTCCGCTGATACTGTTTGCAAGTCTAGTGTGGCATTTTGATAGAGATGTTTCTGCTCAAACCTATGCCGAGTGGAAGCAACCGAGAGGTAGACAGTCTGTGATCTGATAACGAAAACTTCTGCCCCCTTGTTTGAAGGCCCCGAGACTCAACTCACCAATACTTAATGATACTGACAGAAATGGCTCAGTCACGTAGTCGGTAGTGCTCGGGCCTGAAAACTGTCTCCTTCAATATACAGCTGTCCGGTTTCCCGTTCCCTCAAATCAATATACAACCTGGTACCTTCATACGTCAAGGCCTAAGAAGCACGAGTGACATGGCATTGCCCTCGAACGGTTGCTCTTTCTCCATCAGTGATTAGCATTGTAACAGCTGATTTCTATTGTTATATCCTTCGCAGTTTGCAGGATTTGCATGCCCAGTCTACCAGACACTGATTGTGGCGGAGTTGAAATAACAACTACAAGTGAAGTGGATACTTCGCTTCTTTCTAGTAAGCAGAGATTTCTGGTCCCGTTCAATGTGGTCGAAAGGCGGAGATAGCTCACCGAAATTCAAGTTTATTTTCCCCAGAGGTAGGGGAATTTTCACCCATTTCGTCAGTGTCCGGTTCATAGCGTTCCCGGTAACATTCAAAACAAGCGACAGCGGTTTTGTGTAAATATTGCGTCTAGAGAAAAAGTCATGAGAATTATCAACTACATATAGACCTTATCAGAATTATCCTGATGGAAAACTCAGCACGAAAAACCCACCAAATCAAAGTCATATCTTTCAGCAGAGTAAACTCTTTGGCACACTGGTGTCATGCAAAGCGCGATGGCCGACAGGTTGTTCAATCCCGGACATAGACAGTAGAAAAGTTACGAATGGATTCGATAAACATCCCGTACATTGGTTTCGAAGAACTTGTCAGATCACGGATAAAAGACAAGGAATGGACAGGTGAAATGATTCATACAAAAGCGAAATTTAAATAGATGCATACAACCATCAAGCCAAGGCTGCAGCGCTGCCAATCCAGCCTTCAGGATGAACAGACATAAGCGTTCCTGACTCGCTGCCGAATCACCGTTGTTACAGTCAGACAAACAAACACCGGTCGATGTGAATGGCGAAAAAAAGCACCAGCGAAACACCACTCGGCAACAAGGAACATGATGAATCCGTAGAACAGACTGATGCAACTAACAAACCAGCAAGCCAAATGACCCACAAAGATGAACGGCTTTGACCAATGTATGGACGAACAATACGAATCAAACCAAATGGTTCAGTTGTAGCATTCTATCTGTGCCCAGGTATCATGCAACCAAAAGACAGTAAGGTTGACTTTGAATCCACGAGCTATTTGCACACCAGGTCACATCTTTACCTCTGGGCTAGTCTCAAGCTCGAACGACGCATTAAATCAAACAACTGAAATCAACGTACTTTTTGGTACTCTTCTGTGAATGTCCGAGAAAGGATGTGCCCATACCTCGGTGTCCAATGTCCACAGCCTTGCGTTTCTTCCAGTGATGTTGGTATGTCACAGCAAGACTTGGGGCAGGTGCCTTTGTCATTGGATGTATAACCAAATATTGAACTGAATGAACAAAGCAAACGTTAGATATGAGTGTGTTGAAACACCCACTGGACTGGTTTCACCCATGAATGTCGTTCCCGCATCTGCCTAGAGGAGCGCTGTTTTCGAAATCCCCTTCGCACGCACGTGAACCAAGATTTGTCAATGTTACTTGATGGATGGTACCTAATGCACAATGCCTGTGTGTTGTTAGTTCCACCCCGAAACCCCTCCCTCTGCGCTGCGCTGGAGGCACGGCTTTTCTATCAGATTCTATATAGAATGGCTGACTAGATGTTTTCTGGATTCGTGCGGTGTTTGTGGTAGGCTGAATCAGCCCCTTCTCTACTTTTTCTCTGTGGGGCCTCTTGTATGAACTTTCTTCAGTTATGATGTAATAAAAAACCAACCTAACATTTGTGAGTATGGTGGGTATGACTGATGACACATTTATCTAGTGGACTAACGCAACACATGGCTTCCGCTGCTAGCTGATAGCACGAGCGGAGGCGCTGACAGAGTTAGGGGATATAAATACGCACCAGCAAACCCTCTTAGTCTCTTGTGCTACTCACAACCTACACACCATCGTTGACCGTGACCCTTTCACAGAGAAAGATATCACTCTGCCGGTGCAGAAGAGAGGTTTGAGTGAATGTTTTCTGTGTTTACAGTAGCATATACAGCAATCTGTTCATTTTTGGAGGCGGCTAATCCGCTAAAAAACATAACTCTATAAAATTCGGCTAAACGAAAATAGCTCACAACGAACATGGCTCAAATTCGAAGGAACACACGCTCCAAAGTAACCAAGACCCGTGTATTCCCAGGCCTCAGTTGAGATAAGATGAATCGCAATGTCACCCAGCATCCACACACATCAGCAAAGCGGACATCATCTGAGCATCAATGGAAAAAAAGAAGAAAATGGGTAAGACTCACCTCGTAAATCCCCGATTGGAAGCTGTTTGGAGCTCAAGATCTGGGAAGCCTTACGGCCATAAGTTCCCTCGAATGGGCCAAACCGTGCACAGCCGATGAGCCGAAGAGGCGAAGCGTTTGTCTGCGCAGCTGAAAAAAGTGAAACTGAAGGATTCAGAAGTTTCTGTGAATATTCAGAGGTTTACCATTTTTTACATGATACCACCGTGACTGTCGCCTTCCAGAGTTATCTTGAAGCAGTCGTGTATTTCAGACAGTATAATAGCAAAAAGACTAGCGCACCGGTTGAAACACTAGTGAGAGCGCCTATGTGAATGTGTCCGTAGGAGGGTGAGTGACCATATAAATGGGTGTAGGTTCGGATGGAAGCTGGCTTCTGCAGTGACGTGTGAGTAACTGTTCGGATGTCCACCAAACCATCCGTACGGAGTTAGGTGTGAGAATGACCAGTCCCTTACTACAGCTGACAGGTCAGATGCATATTAACGTCTGAAGGTCTGGGCACACAGACGCCTTGAGTGAAGACAAAAGCACTATGTGTGAACCAGTATGGTAGACCTAATGGATCTGTTCAAGTACATGCAGAGTAATGGAAAGGTCACGGTGTAAACGGTGTATACCTGAGAGACTGAAACCATAGGGTGGGTGGGTACGGGAAGGTTTCAAGCCATCAGTATGCCCAACCGATCTCCCTTTACTGCCGGATCGTTTGAGAATAATTGACCAGTTTAAACCAACAGTGTATACGAGGAATGACCTGGTGGCCTGCATTAATAAAACGCACCCAATACAATGCACTGATCGAACCGATTTGTGTAACGATGATCAGTGAAGGTCAATTATAACGCCATTATAAGGATGGCGTACCGGAATGTCCAGGTGCTTTTCGGGAAACTGGGGACAGAGCAACAGCTGAACTCAGAAATGCCCGTTACAGGCACGGTGAGTCTGAATTACTGATAAGACATATTCACATTACGCCTGTGAGGTTTTCTGTGATTATTTTGGTTGGTACATAGGCCTACGGTCTTAAAAGGTTAGTCCTGACTCTACGTAGTCTTGGTACATCGAACCATTCAGTGTGTTAAAGCAGATCAGCTTGATTTGGTCTAGAGGGCAATAATTACAGAAATCAACTTCTAGCGCCATTGCAGGAAGCTAAGGCATGTCTGGTAAATTTACCTGAGTCGCCGATCCTTCGCTGATGAATCACTGGGTCTGCTGATGGCCAACCACAGCGACTAGCGTAAACGCTACTGAAATCGCTCCAAATACAGCTTGCCCTGTCTCCCAGTTCAACGGACCCATGTTATACGTTTCAACTCTATGGATCGCAGCTAACGATCCCTGAACTGACGAACTCCAATTTGTAACATTTCCATCGATGTCGTCCTATTTTGTGTTTCTATTTCCCAATTCACGAGATACCCGTTGATAGTATCCACATTCCAAACCACAGTGAATAATGCTCCGACAAGAGGGCAGGTAGGAAAAACGCTTTGGTGACGTATAGCTTGGTTTATAATCGCAGGTTTCGTTCCCCCCACAAGCGTTTCACAAGGCTACCAAAAACCGCACAAGCTTTGTCAGCATGCGATGAACAATCAAACTCAACAGATAACGTGATACTGATGAAGTCTGGCCAAAAGTTCACGAACTCAGTTGCAGCCTTGACGCGAGTAAGAGTGCTGGAGATACACAGGCGCCTCACGAAAGACTAATTCGATTTGACACACAGCCCAAGCTGCGCAGCAGCAGCATTGCGGCTCAGTACATCTACTCGCGGGCAATACGGTCACCCGTAAACAAGGCGATTTTTAGGCTGAAGGGCAGGAACCCTCGCACCAAGATATGCCTAACCTAAGTGCACAAAAGTATTGTCATTCATGAAAGCCGCATCCAAGATGGCCGTCCAACAACGAACTAAGAGGATAGAAATACGGACACACCACTGCCTAAGGTGTGGTCTAAGGTGTGCCTAAGGTCTCCATATCATTCGTTTGTATGTTTTCAGTTCAGTATACAAACTATAAACCATTTACCAAGAATGCCTGCTACATTTTTGGTCACTAGGAGACTGGAAAGCGTGTGAAATATAGCCAAGCAATGGGGGCAATGGCATGACCAGTTTGTACGTATTGTATGTCGCTCTGAGGGAACCTGAAACTACGCATTGAAAAAGATGGTTTTGATAGAAGAGTGCAATTGGCCGCGTGATTGAGTTGTTTCTATCAGTGTCATTAACCAATGACGAGTTGAGTCCCGGGGGCAGTTGGCGACCCCCCACTGAGTTCACTGCTTAATCCTTTCGTATTTAGTTGCCTCGTCGTGGTATATAATCTCTATTGACAGATAAACTGACGCTGGTGACCAAGGTGCCGCAGGTTCGCAAAAACTATACTGGCTTTCCGGATTCGAGAAGCAATCAGGTAAAAAAAATATATCCACCACTTCGATCGGCTCATCGGCAAGCATAAGGTTTGGGTTTGATCGCACCCATTACTATAGAAGCCCCGTGCACTGCACAGGTGTGGAGAGCATACTAAACCATGCGATACAATTACTTTGGTTATTTAAAGTGGATTTCACCTTTGAAGGATCCGAGCGGAGAAGAACAATATCGCCCAAATACCCTGCGTCTGCGGGAGTAATTCAATCTCCAAGATTTCAGAGGCCGGCATAGGAATTCCAAGCAACACGTTAATAACAAACCTGGAGAGGAATGATGAGAGGACAATCCTGTCCCACACCACTGGAGGTGGTAAACTCAAGCAAAATCCGTATGCGCCCACGGGATTTGGCACAGTGTCCTCATAAGGGGAACAAATTTGGAAGGAAAGCTTTTGCCCTCCAAGCACCACCACAGTTTCTGACGACCGACAAAGTCAAAAGCGGCTTTCAGATCAAGAAAAACGACCCATTTGGGATGTATGAAAGTGTAGCAATGTTCTGGAACCTGTTTCAAGCTAAAGACAAGGTGGTTGCATCCTCGGCTGGGACGGAGCACAGCTTGATTCTCACGAATCCACCCCTTGATGCGATCGACTAACCCGCACAAAATAATGCCACACAGCATCTCAGATGTGGCAGCTACTAGGCTGATGCCAGAATCGTTTTCACACAACATTCTTGCGTCCTTTTGAATATTTGAATCAGGGTAGAGGTGCTCCTTCCAGTGCTATTTTCTTTCCAATTCGTCAGTAGCAAGGTCGTCAGACTGCTCGTCGGCGTTTCACCATCTTCTCTGTACCTTCTGTCAAAACATGATGTGGGTTTCGGATGTGGTACATAAATCTTGGCGGATAGCAGTTTCTAGAACGAACTTTCCACGATAGATCTCGATTGAAATAGTCGAAAATATTTATGAAGCCTAGTAAGAGGGCACGTGGAAGCGCAGGATGTCTGTGGGATTTTTCCCGAAGCTGGTGTGTGAGAAATATCATATCCAATATGCTACGGCTAGTGTTGGAACCAAATTTCTGCCCGGAAATGTGCTTGTGTGACTTCAGTAGTCATGTGGTTGAGTGGCATCAGTGCCAATAACTCGCCCGCACATCTCACAGGAGGACTCACTCCTCTGTAAATGTCACATGAAGTCTTGCTTTCTTCCTCTTCTTAAAATGCTAAGAAAAAAGCACTTTCTAATGCTGGCTGAACTGTTTCTGTGAAATGACATAAGTCAATTGGGGAAGCGCGTTACCCGAAAGCAGGATTGCTCGAGTTGTCTTGGCATTCCGAAATTGCACAGTCGCATGTCGTGTCTCTCCAGTAGTCGGAGGGAGACGGAGGGACAGTCCATTCATCGAAGTCAAGGCTGGGTTCTATTGACTTGCTTGCTCCCTGTATTCACTGTCTGTGTAGTGTAATTCACTTCGTTTGTGTGTGTGTGTGTGTTGGGCTCGATTTACCCCTTGGTTCGTAGGTTTTTAAAAGATCGGAAAATGCTTTGTGTTGCCGCTGAGCAGCGAATCCATCCATCTACTCACTTTGTCTCTGCTATCATTTTTCATGGTGCGGTTGAGTCGCTGCGTCAGGTCGTTTCGAGCACCTGTTAGATTTTGGTTATTTGTTCTGGTAGACAGGAAAAGCAACAACACTTTGTCCTATCCTATCACATGAGCTGTTTGCTCTCGCTGAGTCAACTAAGGTGTTGTGAGTGCAGCTTCTGTTCTAATCTGATTGGCAGTCACCGATAGCCAAGTTGTGCGATGCTTCTGTCGCCGGTCCCAATGGATTGAAGCCGGTCGGTGCAGAGGCCAGTGGATACTGGTACACCAACTTCATTTTCAGAACTTTCGGTGTTCACCGGTGGAATTGGCATAGTGTCGCCCACGAAGATGGATGTTAAGCTTGGTTCGGAAAAACTGATAAGCTGGTCTGCAGTGAGCCTGTTCCATCACTCGTATGACGCACCTCCAAAACACCTCCCCAGGATAAACAACATAGTCCAGTGGATACGATCCATGAAGTGGCGGATCGCTCTGGGGCGAAATCCGGTGCGAATGGTGGCAACGAGTGGATAGCACAGTCTGAGAACTTGGTCCAGGTATCATGGCGTCCGAGAACGCCTGGAGGCAGGGAGCGATCCCAACTGACGTAGGTAATGAAGTAGAAAGAGAATGTACCGTTGCGGGACGGAAGACTCGTCAGAATTCCAGCTGAACTTCTCACTTATGGTATCCTTCACCTGGGTGAAAGCTGTGGGACTAAGTCTGACGAGCACTAAGAAGGAAGAAACCAGGGGGTTATGGGCGATGTGTTCTTGTCAGGTCGGATAAGCTACCGTTCGTCGGAACTCACCGAGGGGCAGTATCAATATCCGGGTAGAAATTTTGCTAAGCAAAGCGTCCGCACATATACACCGCTCACTGTCACGTAATTATAATTATATTATAATTATAACAGATATAACACCCTGTCAGTGCTCAACTACCATATTAACGCTGAACATCGAATTCCTTGGCATAAATGGGGTAGTCACTTGAAATCTGAATGAATTCACACACAAATGTTTCTAGATTCAACTGAGCTGATAGCGGAGATATCGGAGCACATCATGTTCCGTACTCGCTAATACTGAAGGAAATGCATGAAACCATAGTTTCTGGGTTCAGCCGTAGGTTACAGTTACATCTGAGTGCATTATCGAGAATAAAATTAAAATGTTTGGCCGCTAGTCAAAAATTACTTCGTAAAGACAAACTAAGTGAGACTGTTTGGAGCCCTTTAAAAAGAACCCATCCAGAAAGCAATGGCATAGCGATCCCAGGATTACTAATGACGTTGATTTTGGAACTACTAAACAAACATTAGTCAACCATGCGTAGAAATGCCTGAAATTCCACAGTGGATCTGAACCAATGAATTTCCCACAAAGGCTAGCATCTTCTGCCTCGAGCTAACTCGAGCGTAGACCATCGTATATTTCAGTGTGCGGTGTATTCTGGGGAGCAAATTATGCGTCCATGTGGGACCACGTAGGAATGTACTTACAGTGCAAAGTAGATTCCACCGGAAAACTTACTGTCTTGTAATTTGTTTCTCCTCTCCTGACGATAAAATTCGATCACGATAGCTGTGTTCTCGATATCACCCGTTTCCACATAAAAAGTGACATCGTCCCCCGGTTTGTAAAGAGTACCCCAACATTCAGTGTTCTCTCCACGATGTGCGCGACACCGGTTGATTTCCAGAGTAGATAGCAAAACAGGCTGGGGACAGTTGTGTGGAGTAAATGAAAATACTCCAGGAGTCACGGGGGATGAGATGGATCGCGCCTGTGAGTCCACGCGGCGTAAACCCGCATTACCTTCTGATCCATCCTCAGCAGGTCGATCGTCAAAACCTGTGGATAAAAAGAGAGTAACGTAGGTAATAGAACGTCCACAGTCATTCGTCTTGAATTACTTAGTTTCGTCGATGTTACTCTCAGGTTCGATGAACTCAAACCTAAGACCGAAAGCCGCAAGGATTGTATCAAAAACCGGGAAAAATCAGGAAAACGGAAAAATAGGGACACCCAATGAGCAGTTACCTAGAGAAAGAAACCCCAACCCTTCCGGTAAATCACGAAGTGTCCAGTTAAACTTGAGAATTCAAGTGACGAATAAGAATTTGACGATAGTAACAGGCTTCTACCAGCCAATGTGGAGTTAAGTTGGCAGCAGAAAGGCACAAATCTCATAGTTTGAGACAGACCTTATCGTTCAGCTGTAAAAACCTTTCGATGCCTAGCTACCATTCCACCCGAGGGAAGCATGAGGGCTGGTATACTGCCAGGTTGCGCAAGCGTGGAACGTCAAGAGGCAGAGGTCGGATTTGGACCACGGACCTTCCGGTCGGCAAACTCGCGCTCTAACCACTGAACCATCTCGCCCGACAAAGCCCATATTTCAGGTAGAATGCGCGGCGTGCGCCAAAAAGTCTGCGTGATCGTAATGTGCTGGAATATCGGTAGCTCGGGCGAATTCAATGGTGATTGATCAGGTGGCTATTGATATGTTCGCCAAGCTTGGACACTGATTGGTAGGCAATTTGACGTTCCCACTACGGAAGACTCAGATAGGTAACAATACCAGTGGAATGAGGCACATCGATCATCATCATAGTCCTCAAAAAGGGCGGCCATGTGATAACCATTGTGGCAATAGCCCTGTAGCCGACGCGTCCGTCGGGACCAGTTGAGCTAACTGCTCGATCACTCTTCAGTAACCTTCAGGCACCTGTGGCGATCCAGTGGGCGCCGCGACAGGGGTTCGCAGCGTCCTAATTCAGCCGGAGAAATGATTATTTTGTGACTGGATACCCGATGATAGTCACCTCCGTGCGGCACGTCTGGCAACGTCCTTAAAGAAGTTTCACCAGCGGCAAGTTAATCGTTGTCTACCCGTCACGTCTGCTACGCCCCAACCATGAAAGACAACTTTTATGACACTTTCAATGCCCTCTTACAGTGAGCAGAAAGCTCAGATATTGTTGTGGCTGTCGAAGGCCTGAATGCACATCGGGCAGGTTTAGCGCACCTGAGGCTCAACTGGGTGGTCACACAGGCTGAACTCGATATGCATAGACGATGGCAAATGACTTCTTCAGCTATGTGCCGACCGTAAACTTCTTACGCAGCATCGATTTCCGAAATAATCGAAGTTTTCTGACAACCGGTGTTGTTCAACAGCGTACCAGCCACGGATCCAAGTTGATCACATCGCCAGCAGGGACCAACGGCGCAAATCAATAAATAACGGACGTTCGTTTCGGAACACTCGTAAGGAATCCGGCTACACGCTCGTCCGAGTCACCCCTACACTTTCAGAGCTGCGTAACATTCGAATAACTAGCTTGGCAACGAAGACGCTGGCACACAGAAATAGGACAAATTTATCAGGCTCGTCTTCTGGACACTTCCGACGGCTCCGTCGTCAAGTGTGCATTTGTAAAGGAACAAGATTACAACGTCCTTGCACGATGCCTGGGGTTGTGCCTGTGGTACGAGACTACCACGTCCACTCAAGCACTGGATAGTGGAGGAGAACACTAGCACCACTTGAACATCCCGGAAATGTTTCCACCGGCCCCTAACATGATTCACAAAGATAAATTCTCAGACTTCAAGTCAAACTTATTGTGCACGCCAACCGTGAAGTCTGGTGGACCAAGAACGTGGAAGAAGGTTACGGAACGCGGAATGCTCGATGCTGGTTCAAACGGATTCATGTGACCAGACCAAGAAAACCACTGGTGGATAAAAGTGGTGTGATCATCTTCAGTAAAGAAGGATCCCTCGATCGCTGAGCCAAACATACTGAGCAACAATTCTCGAGACCGCCTGCTACCACTCAGTTGGATTCTCCAATTGAAATAGAACACTGGACGATGGGCCTGAAGAGTCCTACGGCCTAGAAAGTTTTCGGACACATATTTCCTCCCAGGTGCCACCGAGCACCAGGTCCTGAAGACATCCCACCCGAAATGTTCAAGGATGGGCATGAAGTCTTCAGTCAGCGCTTAGCTGACCTAACTGCTCCCATCTTGGTGAACGAGACTGTCCCAGGTAACTGAGGAGAATCGATTATATTGCCCGCTTCAGACATACAGCCCTTAGTGAGTGCTAGTATCACTGAGGAATCTAATTGACTGCGGTCATAGCGAGACACGTGGCGTCACTTGTTCTTCAGAGCCCTATGAAGCATTACTTCGAGAGCCACAAGCGGGCTTCCGGCCTGGCACGGGTTGCGTTGACCAAATCTTCACAGCATCAAGTGCCGAGAAAATACCATACATATAGGCGACCCAGAGTTTTAATAATACTGGATTGCAAAGGCGAATTCGACTCACATGACCGCACAACAGCATAGTGAAACTCCACACAAGTGTTTCAAAACCAGCGGCAGCCAGTTATTGATCCACACCACCTGTGACCCTAACTGATACCCTGTTTAGGGAAAACCATTTGGCCAGATGTCCCTGGTTATTTCGAAAATTGGTGCCGCATAAAAACCTGTGGCTAACAAACGGCTGGAGCAGTCGTCTGCCGTTTTTTGTGCATCGGGAGACTCGACAGGTACCAACTAATCAAGCGGTTAGAGCGCGAATTTACTGACTGGAAGGTCCGCGGCTCGAACCTGACCTCTACCTCTCGACTACCCCTGTCTAAGCTCAAGCAACCTGGCAGTAGCCCAGCCCTCATGCTTCCTTCAGGTAGCATGGCAGCTAGGCACCGGAAGTGTGTTATAGCCGAGCGATTATTTTAACCTTTTTTAGTGAAGCCTCAGATGCGCTTAATCCGCCCGCCTGTGTAGTCGAATATCCCCGTGTTCGCGAATAAACCTACCAACATGATGGATAATTTCGTCCATCTGGGTAGGTGCACACGTCCCAGTTGACTGGTAAAGGGCTGAATTACTTCCAGTCTGGAAAGCCGAAGCAGCGTTTTTCAACCTCCGACATTTTGAGCGCCAGTTTGACTTCTGCTTGACTGTCAAAGGCAGGGTATACAATACTGCGGTCTGATCAACTTTATGGATCAGAGACGAGGCCACTGTGTGGGGAAGGCCATAAGAGACTCTCTGGGTTTGACCGTCGGTCTTTTGGAAGCGCCGTTCAGGTCTGTTGTAAAGATCTGACTAGCGATTCTGAGGTGAACCAGATGATTTTATGAAAGTTTATCCCACACACACACAAGGTCCGAAGTAGTAAACGAGTCAGAAGAGTGTGAAAGAGTGGGAGAAGAGTCCAACGGCTTCTTAGTAAACCGGAAATAAAGCCGAAGTTCCATTACATTCAAGAGATTGGATATTCCCCTTGAATCGCCACAGTTCATCTATGACTAATCGTACCTTGTATCACCCTCCGGGAGCATTATCGATTTGTAGTATATGACCTCATTTGCTTCATTGGGTAAGATGTGAAAGCGATTCGCGCTAATTTTCCAATACAACATGATGGTGTGAAGTTCATCACAAGCAAAGGAAATATACACTGCTGACAAGCGGCCTCCGTCATTCGAAAGCGGATGTTAATTAGGACTTACCTGCATCTGCATCGAATTCGCCACTAAAAGTGGGCTCTACTACAAATTTTGAGCAAGCGATGTACATATTGTGCTGCAGCTGAGCCGTATTCGAAAGGCAGGGGTTGAAAAACTTGCAAGCGGTTGCTGATAAGCGCACATGCAGTTCAGAAGTATTGGTAAGCCAACCACGTTGGATAAATGTCCCATTATCTATAAAATATCAACTCAAACCGAGGTGGTATACCATAAACACCGAACTTCACGTGCGTCAAACAAAGTTTATCGCCAGTATTCATGTAATCTGTGTCGAACGTGTAAGCACCGGGTAACAAATACCGATTATTGAGAAATTCCGCGGTTTTAGACGAGACTCCCATGCCAATATCCTGAGCATATTAGAATCCGAATATTCATCATTGGTTTCTTCGCAAGCGGCAACAAAATAGCGGTATTGAAAGGACTGGCATATATCGGATGTAAAACAACAGGACCACGTTTCGGTTCTAGTGAAATGAAAAACGAATTAAAAGGACAGACCCTGGAGAGTGAGCCTTCTGAAATTTGCATATCATTCCCCTTTCCGGGTTCCATGAGCCCAGGTCATTCGTGCTACCCGTTATTCCAACGACTACCTTCTGATCCCTGTCCGTTGAAATGACATCGACGTAGGCTCCGACTTCTTCAAGCAGTTCAAACTCAACCTCAACAGTCAGTGACAACGTCAACCGACAACCTTCACTGGACATCTGCTGCTACGCGCGAAATGCCCGAGCTAGAGGTGGGTTTAACTAGCCGCTCAAAAAATCATTTGCTCACGCGTACGTTTACCATAGACAAAGCCGTTCAGTTCCATTCCCAGCATTTGTGAAAAAATATTAAGCAAACATGAGTATTCCCCCGGCAGTTCCCTGTCTTTCCAAAGATATACACCATCGCCTGTCGTCGATGGAAAAGATTCTGTGAAAAAGGTGTGTGAGGTTTCTCATTTCGGGGTGCTGGTGACGGCAATAATCACGGATTCACGGATTCACGGATTGATACACAGGATCGGGGCTTTTGCCCAAGTTTCCCGGGTCGGTTTTGTTCTTGTCGGTCAGGGGCTGTCGTTCACCTGAAAGGCACAAGTG